GTCCAAAAAAAAAGTCGTATTACTATATTTAGAAACATAATTTTCAAATTTATATTCTATCATGAAATAATTTATAAACAATACAAATATTTGATACTTATTTAAAATCATAAATTTCAAATGTTTTTTTTCTTCAGATTACATGTCTAATCAAATGATGTCGCATAAATTAGAATGAAGGGAAGTGTAAAATTAAAATTTACAAATTATATATAAATGTTGAAAAGAATTCTCTTGTTACGTGTTTTATCATTTATGCTTTATTTGTTTTTTTATATGTACAAAGCAAGTAAACTAATAAAATAAAGAGAAAATTACGCGGATAAGCAAATATATGCTAGTTAATTAGCTAATATAACTATGATTTCCATTAATTATCACTCGCTACTTAATTTTAGCTATAATTATGTGTGTCTCTCTCCTCCCTTCCTCTCTCACGCCTCTCTCCTTTCTTGTACATATACATATACAAATACAAATTGATACGATTGTATACAATTTATTCATTGATACAAATTGTATTTTCTTAATACTATTGTTGATATACATACATACATAAACAATTATGCGGATACACAAATACAAATTATTGATACATATGTATTATACCAGTTATATATATATATATATATATATATATAAAATTATTTGACAGATAACAAATACTATTCGCCTCTCTCCACTCTCTCTTGCCTCTCTCCTCCTTCTCCCAATCTCACTCGCCTCACTCCCCCCTCTCTCAATCTCGCTCGCCTCTCTCTTCCCTCTTCCAATCTCGTTCGCATCTCTCCTCCCTCTCCCAATCTCGATCGCTAGATATATATACATACAATCATTGATACATATTACCAGTTACATCTATACAATTATCTGACAGATATACAAATACAAATTGTCTCTCTCCACTCTCTATCTTCTCTCGCTCGCGTCTCTCCTCCTTCTAATATGTAGCTATCGTAATTAGAAAACTATAGCTATGTACCCTAACTAAAATTATTTTAATGGCTATTTATGAAATTTCTTATAAAATACGAAGAATAAAATATAAATTTTAAAAAATATGCATATAACACAAGTGGAATTAAAAAAAGAGAAAAAAGATAAATATACCCTCGAACTATCGTAAATGGTATGCAAATAGACTCCGTCATACTTTTGGGACATTGGTGCCCCTGACGTCCAAAAACTAGAGCATATATGCCCTTCGTTCTAACGAAAGACTAAATAGGGACACGTGGCACAATCTTATCCATCGATAATTATCGGATCAGTGGATAAGATTATGACACGTGTATGTCCGTTAGTATAAAGGGTATAGATGCTCTAGTTTTTGGACGGCATGGGCACCAATATCCCAAAAGTATGACAGAGGATATTTGCATACCATTTACAATAGTTCAGGGATATATTTGTCCTTTTCCCTTAAAAAGGTGGTAGTTGTAACAAATTCAAACTCTCCATTGTATTAATAAAAAAACTAGAATACAATTACAGCTTTGAAAATAGTAATTGTAACACTCAGATTATTAAATAACAACGAAAAAAAAATACTAAAATAACAAAGAGGAATCAAACTCTTTACTTAACAATAGCATAATCTTCATAAAGCCGCAAGCAATATTTTTTTAATTCGTTTTGCCACTTGTTTCCTTAACTTGGATTTCAAGTAAATTTATTATTGAGTTGTTTAATTCTTTGCATATTTGTGGTTTAATTCCTAGCCCAACAATTTGATCAACATCTATCTAAACAATTGATTCATAAGTATTATCTAAGTAATTCATGTTCACAAAAACCTTCGACAATATTCATCCTCTTTTCTAGTTTGCTCATAACAAAATGTTTGACGTACCTCGAGTCTGACGAAATCAAATAAATCGATCATATATTAATTATATGCCTAGAATAATAAATCAAGAATTATGCGACAATATCTGAAATATATTTTTTGCAGTTACGATTATTTCTTACTCTAAATAATCAAGGGACCAAAGTTCGCTTTGTAAGTGTTTGCACATTATTAAATATATACATACATAATATTAGGAAATGAACCAACAAATGTTACGATCGGTTAGTAAGTACTCATTCACTCATAACAAGAGATTTTAAATTTGAGTCATGAATATTTAGTTGTCTTTTTAGAGAGAATTTTTACCCCTAATATAAAGCTTCTCAGTGATTATCTAAACTTAATTAGTTCGACCACAATATGCAAGACTTCTCAACACGAATGAGAATTTAATCAAATTCTAATACAAACATAGATTATCGGGTGAAAAACTAAAAATTTTATCAAAATATGAAATACCCTACCATTGAAATTATATGCATTTATGTTGATCCTTTTCCCTAAATAGATTATATTTATCCCCAAAATTGCATGACGATATATATAGAGTGAAGTATAAGTAAAGTTCTTCTACTTTTTGGATGGACCAACTTTGAATACTTTAAAGCCCAAAACTATAATGATCTTGATCAAATTTAGGCCCACTTTAGCAAAAGTCTATTAATTAGCTAACCAAATTTTACATTTTGGTGGATATTAGTTTATTCTTGTATTTATTTTCTCTAATTAAATTCATCTAGAAAAATTAAAACTCGTATGAAGGAACGATGGCACACACATATATTGATTTTTTGTTTGGGAATGAGATGTAGTAATTATTGTTTTTTTTTTTGTATGGATGATTCTATACATTGAGAAATTTCTTTCAATATATTTTTGTAAAAGTTAGAGTGAATTATATGTTAATACTTTTTTTTGGAAATATATGTTTTATTTAGAGGTAATTACTAATTAGAATGATAAAATACACGCATATACTTTTTATAGTATTATCATTTTTAAATGCAGGTCATTAATGCAAAGATTAGGTATCCTAAATCAAAATATAGCTATCGAGAGCAAAATAAGATTTGTGGATTTATTCACTAAGAATAGAGTTAAAGAATAATTATTATTTTTGATCATATTAAACTTTTAATATTTCCTTCAATATTTATACCTAAGCAAATATTGACGGACTTTATAAAAATTACTTTTGAACATTTATCGAATTATTAAAATAATAATATCATATATATATATATATATATATAAAAGAGAACTCTAGGCCCGCCTACGTGGCGCCACCACAAACAAGAATTCCCTTTTAATTTATTTATTTACAAAACTAGTCTTCCCCTTTCATGAAAAGTTGTGATTTTAATGAAAAGTAGTGACTTTTATGAAAAGTTGTAACTTGTATGAAAAGTAGAGACTTTTATGAAGAGTTGCAACTTTTATGAAAAAATATGACTTTTATGAAATGTTGTGACCTTTCCGAAGAGTTGTAACTTTTCCAATGAATTATGACCCTTTCGACAAGGCACAATAAGAATTTGTTCACACTACCATTTGTTGTCTATAAATAGAGGAATTTCCTGTCACTATTATTTGTAGGTTTTTTTTCCCGCTATAGGGTAGTCAAATTCAAATTCATTAATTAAGCTTCTTATGAAGTTTGTTTCATTCTTCAAAGTTTTCTTCCTCCAATTTCATGGAGTTTTTTTTTTGTAACTGTAAGCATTATTACCAGATATATCAATATGTACAGAGTGTTTTGAAATTCTGGAAATGGACATAGTCCCAATCTCAGAGTTCGTGCTACTACCCTTACCACTAAACTACTATTCTATGGACAATAATTGAAATTATGAATGAATTCAGCCAACTTTGATTGCATACTGCTTCTACAGTGGATTTCTTGAATGATGCTCCTGGTGATCACCTATGTGGTTCTTTCTTTCTTTTGAAAAATTCTATAATTCCTCTCTTGCCAGACATAGTATACTGCTGTTGCGAGGGTCATTCTATATACTTCATCTTGAATTGTTTTTCCTGTGGCATGTGAAATAGCCCAATTCATTTCTTCTGTCCACCCTACATGTTCCTGGTAATGCACAACCACTGTAATAACTTACGCAATATCTTAGTTGCCATAGTGCATGAGAAAAAAAGATGTTGGTGTGTCTCTAGCTCTTGCTTACACAGTGCACATACTTGATCTGTGTGTACCATTTGTCCTATGTTTGGTCAAGTAGAGTATGAAGATCTATTTTAGATTCCCTTGATTATTGCATGTCAACCTTCTCCATGGCAACTTGATGAAATCCCTCTTAAGCTTCTTATACATACATTTAATGGTGAAATCATCTGCTTCCATGATTTTTGTCATTGGTATTCCAGCCTCAGAAATTCAATGACCTGCTTACATGATCTTCCTCACCATCCAAGAAGCTTGCTGCCCTGCTACTTCCCATGGTCTCCTACTTTTAATATAGTACGTATGGACCCAAACAATCCATAACTTGTCCTTTTTTGTGCAAGATTCCACAAGTGTTTGAGTATAGTTGTTTTGTTCCATATATACACATCAGTTATATTTAAACCACCAACAACCTTAGGCCAGCATAGTGTGTCCCATGCAATGAGTACTTTGCCTTTGCTTTGTGCATCTTCTTTCCATAAAAATCTCTTACATATTATTTCTATTGTTTGTAAGATTTTTTTAGAAATGAGAAAGATCTGTGACCAAAAAGCTTGGATTGATGTTAAGACACTTTGTACCAACTGGAGCCTTCCTGCATATGAAAGAAACTTTACTGTCCATGTGTTGATCCTTCCCACCATCTTATCTATTAAAGGTTGGCATTGACTAATAGATAACTTCTTTGAACTGAGTGGCACCCCAAGATACTTGAAAGGGAGAACTCATTTGGTGAAACATGTGTATTGCAATATCTGTTGTTGAATTGGTTCTGGGGCTCCACCAAAGTACACACAACTTTTGGATTGATTTGCTATGAGTCCTGATGTTTTGGAGAATTGTTGGAAGCATTCAAACAGAAGTATAGTTGATGGTATGTCTCCTCTGCTAAATAGGAGAAGATCATCTGCAAAGCTCAGCTGAAATATTTGTTGCTTTTGACATCTCGGATGAAATTTAAAAGCATTATTGTTCATCAATGATCTCAATAGTCTTGTAAGATAATCCATAGCCAGAACAAATAGGTAAAGGGATAAATATATCCCCTTGTCTTACCCCTCTCCTTGCCTGAAATAGAACACTGGGGCGTCCATTAATCATAATTGAGTAAGAAACTGTCCTGACACACTTCATAATCCATGTAATAAACCTTTTAGGCAGTTGCATACCAATCAGAACTTCCTCAAGAAAATGCCACTCTAAAGAATCATAAGCCTTTTGCATATTAATTTTGAACATACACCTAGGTGAGATTGCTTTCCTCCCATATTCCTTAATCAACTCATGACTTAGGATAACATTGTCTGTTAGCATTCTACCAAATACAAATGCAGCCTGACTAGGGTCCACTAGAAAGTCCATAACTCCTTGGAGTCTGGGAGTGAGCATTTTGGATATGATCTTATACATTGTGGTACAACAAGAAATATGTCTATATTCTTTAATGGAGCTAGGATGTTGTACTTTAGGAATGAGAGTAACTGAAGTCATGTTAATAGGAGCATACATCTGGTTAGTGATAAAGAATTGAAGAACATTAGTAGTTACCTCCTCACCTATAATAGGTCAAGCTTTCTTGAAAAATTAAGAGTTAAAACCATCTCCACCTGGTGCCTTGTTATCCTCAATACTTTTAAGGGCCATCATAAAATCCCTTTTTGTAAAAGGTTGGATTAATTCCAATTGTTGAGTTCTAGATAGTACAGGTCCATCCCTTAATACTGCTGGTTGGGTGGCTGGCATGCGAGAATTTGCTTGTCCTAACAGGTTCTGATAAAACCCCACTGTTTCTCTGGTAATTTCTTCTGGATCCCTGATGATTGTACCATCTTCTTTGATATGCATGGTTATTTGATTCTGGGCCTTCCTGTTCTTCATACTAGCATAAAAATATGATGTGTTTGAATCCCCTAGCTTAAGCCACTGCACTCTGGATTTCTGTTTATAAATTGTCTCCTCAATCCTGCTTCATTTATTCAACTGTGTCCTTAGCTCATTTTCTTCATCAATCATGCATTGAGGAATAAGTATAAATCTCATATTACTTTGTATGTCCATCAGCTCAACTCTTAGTTTGTGAACCTTTTATGATACCCCCATGTATTCTCTTTGATTTAGTTGCTTCAATTCTCTTCTTACTTTCATCAGATTCTGCCAGACCCCTTGCATACCTCTTCATTTGATTTGCCAGCTTGCATTGATCTTATTTTTGAACTCTAGATGTTGTGCTAAACAGTTAAAAATTTTACAAGGCCTTTTCTTTGCATTCTTATGCTCCTCCATATTGATACACATTAATACTCAAAGGAGAATGATCTAAGAATAGTGGATTTATAACCAACACTTGTACTATTGGCATATGCAGTACTCAGCAGTCAGCATTAACCAATGCTCTATCAATTCTACTAAACACATGTCCATTTGTCCAGGTGAATTTCCTTCCAACTGTTGCCAGCTCAGTTCAATTACAATCAGTAATGCATTCTTGAAAATATCTGATTTCTGAGCTTTGTACTTGACTTTCAATAGGTATGTCCTCTGCTGTCAAAATGGAATTAAAATCTCACATAATCAACCATGGATCAGTGTGTGCTCAATCGATGTATTATTGTCCATAGAGGGATTCTAGTAGTGATTAAATGCAAGTCATACACTGCTGTAAATTGAAATTTCATTTTACTCCCTTGCATCTCAACCTGCCCATGAATGTGCTGTGCAGAATTTTCTACAGTAGTGAAATTAATTACACCTGGATTCCAAACCACCCAAATGTTTCCTCTCACATTGTTAGCAGAATTTGTGCACCACTCCCAGCTTGACGTTATTTTATTTATAATACTACTGACTCTATCTTCTCTAACTCTATGTTCACATATTGCTATCATACAAACCTTATTCCTCCTTAGAAATAACCTAATCTCCTTGTGCTTCACTTCCTGATTAAAACTTTTTACATTCTAGGTGACTAACATATTTTATTTAGAGGTTCAGGTTCAATACTAGCTTCTTCTATTACTCTACTATGTTGCCCAGTTTCAAACATGTATCTCTATGTTCAGTATTATCATTCCATGCAGATTGTAGTGTCATTTTTTTGCTAGATGACTGTATCTCATAATTTGCCAATTCTCTTGCTTGTGTGGACCTTGCTTAGGAATAGGTTTTGGCTGTTGTTCTGTTTGCTTCTCCTGATTCTTATCTTTTATTGTTGTTTTCCTCCATTCTTTCCTCTGCCTTTGTCCTTGTCCTCTCTTTGCTGGTATAACTTTTGGCTGGTCTACACAGAAATGACCCACTTGTAAACATTTCTGACAAAATATTGACTTCCACTTATACCAAACTTGCTGCTCCAGTACTTTTCCCTTAGAATCTCGAATCTTAATCATCTTAGGAAGAGGTCTAGTCACATCCATTTCGATAAGTATTCTTGCAAATGATATTCGACTTGCTTGAGTTGTACATTCATCAGCATAGAGTGGTTTTCCCAAACTACTGCCTATTTTGCTTAGTACCACAGAATTCCAGCAGTTAAGGGGAAGATTAGGAAGTTTTATCCACAACGAAATAGTGGTAAGGATTTCATCTTTGAAATTAAATTCTGGGAGCCAAGACTTCATTATAACAGGCCTTTTGAGCAAATAATGAGGCCCTACACACAACACCTTATCCCTTTCCTCTTCATTTGCAAATTTGACTGCAAAAAACCATCAAAGTGGTATAACACCACTGGTTTAGTAGAGAAAGCCCTTTGTTCTATAATAAACCTTTCCATAGCTCCAATAGATAGTGTTACTCCTACAACGTATATAACTACCGAAGGTTCCCATTTCATATCATCCTCAACTACATCTTTAGGCATAATTTCTACTACATTCTCCCCCTCAACAATTATTGGAGCTATATAGTTTAGATTCATACCTCTCGCAGCCAATCGATTTGTGGAAAATAGGTTCGCCCAAGGCTTCTCAGGTGTTACCTCTGGAAGATTTAACTTTCTTTGAGCATTACCCACATTTTTTCCCAATTTACTGTTCCATTGACCTCAACAAGGGTTTTTTGTGTACCCCCACCAGATCCTCGTTGATGTGTTAATTTCGGCCATTCTTTTTCCCTCTATTGTTTTCCTTTGTCCATATCTGAAACCATCACTGCCATTTCCTCTGGTGTGCTCAGTTGTATCTCAGTCAAGGGAGCTTGGTGTGTTTTCCCTCCATTAGAACTAGTAGAGATTCCGTGCAGTATTTCCTCCGCTTGATCTTTCTGCACAAGTTTCCATGGTCGTCCTCGTCCCATTTTCGGCAAGGTGCAAGTTAGTGCACTCTAACGTGAGCCCAACTCAGAGAGAGAAGAACTTTTTTTTTCTTCATGGAGTTTAATCTTTACTATAAGTCATAGTGATTCATGTAACAATGTCAATTCCTTTTTTCTATCTTGGTGACTTTCCTTTACCACTGTTAAAAAATTTCAGCAAGGATGATTGAAAATTGATCTTCTCTTTTGTCCCTTTCTACAAGTTTCTTCATATAAACAATGAAAATTGATTTTAATTGCAATGCGACATTACTACTCTTGCACCTCTCTGCCCACAACTCATAACAGTTTTGAAATGGTTGAATTCATTACATTTGGTTATTTAGTAAACAAATCTTTTATTTCTGCCACTATTATTTGTAGGTTTTTTTCAATAAAACAGTCAAATACATATACATTTATTAAGCTTCTTATGAAGTGTGTTCCATTTCTCAAAGCTTTCTTCCTCCTATTTTATGAAGCTTAATCTTTTACCGTAAGTCATAGTGATTCATGTATCCCTTGCAATTTCTTTTTGCTATTTTTGTAACTTTTTTTTAAACTTTGTTAAAAATTCAGTGAGGATGATTGAAAATTTATCTTCTCTTTTGTCCCTTTTTACAGGTTTCTTCATATACTTTTTGGGAAAATTGCTTGTGGATTGTGTTATATTTGATAGCATACAACAATAAATATGTGATTACTAATATGGAACCAATGATGATGTTTGTTAAAAGAACCAAACATATTGCTCTCTTGCTTGCCACAATTAATATATTATTCTGATTGTTTTTTCTTAGGTACAAACATTTTGTATGGATTGAGGTATACATATTATCGTCTCTATTGAAGAAAATTACTGAATTTTTTCCAGCAGATAATGAAGAAAAACACAGATACAAAGGCTCGAAAAAAAGCTCATAAAAAAAACTTGGTTATTATCAATTCCTTCCAAGACTCTCCAAGTAAAAGTTTTTCCCCTATTTCTTCAATTCTCAATCCTGGCAATAGTAATGATTATTCTGAGACAATGAGGAAAAACATTTATGATACTCACAATTTTATGGTCATTTTTAACATATACATAATACAACATACTATGGTAAAAAAGAGATTGATGGAGGTTCATAAGAAAAGAGTCGAAGGTCCTCCATTTGAATTTAGTTAATTATGTTCTTGTATGGACGTGATGTTCCACTTTACTTGGGAGTGTTGTTGTTCGAGGCTCTTTGGTCTCTTCTTTAATGTCTGATGTTGCTCTTTATAACTTCTTGGAATTTAGAAAATTTCATTACTTCTGACCAACTATTTCAATGGAGATTTTCTTAGACTTCTTTCTTATACTTAAAATCTCTCTATGACTCATAATTTTTGTATAACAAAAACAAAAATTAGAAAAAATATTGCACTTTAAGATTTCAGAAGAATGTTTTACCTTAAGATAAAATATTCTTGACAATGTAGTGTATGTATCGAAAATATGAATATTACATAATGACCATATGTAAGCTTAGAAAAATAGTTTAATCCCGTGCGAAGCACAAGTAATTTACCTAGTATATATATAAAAGAGAACCCTAGGCCCCATTATGTGGCGCCACTAGAAACCAGAATTCCCATTTAATTTATTTATTTACAAAACTAGGCTTCCCCTTTTATGAAAAGTTGCGACTTTAATGAAGAGTTGCGACTTTAATGAAGAGTTGAGACTTTTATGAAAAGTTGTGACTTTTATGAAAAGTTACGATTTTAATGAAGAGTTGCGACTTTTATGAAAAGTTGCGACTTTTATGAAAGATTGTGACCTTTCCGAAGGGTTGCAACTTTTCCAAATAATTGTAACTTTTCCGATAAGACACTATAAACATTTGTTCACATTACCCGTTGTTGTCTATAAATAGAGGGATTTCCTCTCATTTTAAAACATTGAAAATTCTGAACCTCTTCTTATTCTTCTTCTTCTTCTTCACAATTAAATATAATACTTTGCTCCTGTTGAGTGGCTCACTGACACAATTGCTTATGTTACAGATCCTGGTATGTATTTTTGCAGTCATTAATTTATGCTTATGTTATTAATGATAAATGATAAGATTTAATAATTTTCATTTATCTTTACA